ATAATTTTGGTGTTTATTTGAATTTTGGTACACAACTGGAAATTGGAATTAAATATTATATATATATATATATATTTGTAGCTATGTGTTGGCAATTGCTATTCTGTCGATGCTGTACAGCGGCATGCAAGCAGCGCAACATGTCCACCAACTCTCCACCGGCAGAGAAGTGTTTCAGCGCCGGAGATCGGCCTTGGCTGACTTTATCGGCGATCAGGTTAATTTAGTTTAAGTTTTTTTCCTTTTTCTTGGTACGTAAAATGTATCTAAGTTGCAATTATGCCAAAAAAAAAGAAAGAAGGTTCTTGTGAGTGCCAGCTAAGCTAGCTAAGCAATAAGGCCAAATTTTGATTTCTTTGTGAGTTGCTTTGCTTGCTGCAGATTATGGCATATCTGTTGATATCGTCGTCCTCATCGGCAATTCCGATGACAAACAGAATGAGAGATGTACAAATCGACGTATTTACAGACTCTTCAGCAGCCGCCATTAGCATGGCCTTCCTAGCTTTCGTTGCTCTTGCCTTATCGGCTCTCATTTCCGGTTACAAATTGTCATCTCAATCCTACATCTGATAGATTACAAATGGCTACATTTGTTTTTATGGGCCTCATGCCACATTGACACAAGAATCATATGACACCATTTACTCACAAACAACATGTCAACCAGCTTTTATTTTTATTTTTTTGTTTTCCTTGGGTGGCTGGAGCTTGGAGGAGGAGCTGAATATGTCAACTCAACACATCATGTGCTTGCCAATGTGTTTGGTGGTGCCACGCTGTATTTCCCCCATACTAATATTGCAAGGTAGACCACCATTAATAAAACAATGGCTATCCAACCAAAAAATAAAAATAATAAAAAGAAAGAAGAAAAATATTGTTTCTATTGATTTTCGATGGAAGCAGAATTTGTATTTAGATATCGCATTGTAGTTAGAATGTGCAAGCCTGTGTCATTTGGCATGAATTAACATATTCTCTTGATTAAAAAGGCCAATTTCAATTTCAATAGACTTTTAATTGGAGGATTCCAATGACGTACGTGAATCTAGTATAATGATTGGACCTATGGATTTTGCAGTTACGAGTTAGGCATTTTAACTATTCAATCATGAATGCTTAGAGAAATCCTTGTCTATAGTGAATGATTGAGATTCCAATAAAAATGAGTAATCTTTTAATATCAAATGAATCCAACAAGTAAATTCATTGAGTCTTGTAAGGGTCTTTTTATTTCAGTAGCCTGACGAATGGGCTTGGGCTGCCGAAAAAGAGAAACAGGTGAAGCTGCCCCTGTATCTGAGTTTAAGGATCATACCCCAAGAGTGTTTCGAAAGGGTAGCTGAGCCTTAGGAAACACTTTGATCTTCTTCACCAATAAAACCAACAATCGCTTACAGATAAATTCTTGGCTTGACATGAGAAGCTTAAGGCATGTGAGCTGAGCATTCATGAGTTTATCATGTGAGAGAGAAAGAGCTGCGATTTCCAGAAGAGAAGATGGGAGGAGATGGAAGAATATGGCTCGAAATTGTAGGGGTTTCAAGGATGAGAGATGATGATTGCTCTCTAGATGTGTGTTTATAGAAAGAGAGGAAGAAGATGAAAGCATGGGTGGCTTTAGCATATTTCCAGCAGCTTCACGAAAGCTTCATCAAGCTACTGGGTGATTTGACATAAGAGAAAATGGGAAGCAATGGAAGAACAAGGCTTGAAATCGAAGGGTTCAAGAGATGAGAGATGATGTTTGCTCTATTTAGATGTGGGTTTTAAAAGAGAGAAATGAGGAAGATGGAAGAACAAAGCATGAAATTGAAGGGTTCCATTGGGGATGTTTGCCTTCGATGAATTCTCATGGTTGCTGGGAGGCTTGCAACAACCAAGATGAGTTGTCTTTGCTGGGTAGAAAGTGGCTCCTTTTATAGGCACTGAAAATCTTAATTTTATCAAGCCACCCTCTCCAATTTTCCTTCACTTTCTTCCATTTCATCTTATTTGGTGAAACTTCCCTAGCCTGAGCATATAGGCATGAAGCTTTTTGGAGTTCCAAGGTCCTTAGGCGGCTGGACTTCTCTATGTGGGTGAGGAGCCAGGGTTTGGTTGGTTTTGATGGTTTTGACAGATATGCTAGATATTTTTCACGATGCTAGGCTGAGCTATTGGTATCTTGTTTCCAGCGGCCTGTGAGTTTGCTCAAATTACTGGAAACAACCTATTTGATCAAGGTGCTGGATATTTTGGCTTATGTGGGATTTTTCCAAGTGTTTGCAAGCCATTGAATATTTTCCTAAGCTACTGGGCCACTCGTTCGCTCTCATACTTACCCATATGTTTGGGCTCAAGAAATGGGCTCGAGTTTTGGTGTTCCCAAGCAGCCCAAAACTTCTACTTCTTGGCCCATCAATGGGCCTCGTGAATACTCGTAATCATTCATCCCACAATCTGCTCAGTAAACCTCATGCATTTGCGTAGCTTGGGCTCACTTAAGTTTATAGCGTGGAATGTTACTTAAATAAAAATTTTCCACTTGGTGTTGTACTAGACCGAAAATATATTTGGGCTCAACCTGAAATTTTTTTGGACCTCAACAAGTCCCAAACTTCTATGAAAACGTTTCAAATTTTAGAACATAAATCGTATATACACGCTATTCATAGTGGTTCACAAACACATAAGCGGCGATAAATCTTTAGTATACACGCTAACAGTCGCGGTTCGAACATCCACAAAAGACTAGCAATTTCCTCTCAATGATGAGGGGACGGACTGTGAAACATTTGTGATCAGTGGAATCGTCTACAATCATTGGCCTGCAGCTCCAGTCAAATGCCAGCCTGTCAGGAAGTTAGTTAGTTAGTTACAATCGCCCAACAGTGCACCAATTAACTATCGGATCCTATGCAAAACACCCCACCCTTAAATACGACTCATGGAATCATTGTTTGCCACGTCGGATCCCAATTACAATGTGCTCCAATCACTCACGCGGCCAATGGTTCACTCGGGCGTGAGCGCGCGAAGTGAAACCCACACGGCACGCGAAACTGCCGACAAAACCAAACGCTGACTTGTCACTTTGATTTCGCTCCCATTTCCCCAACCCTTCTTCCAAATTCCAAATCCAATTCATTCCTAACAGAACACAAAGAAAAAACGATCATGACAGATCAAAACGGCACGTCGCCCAAACATCCAGAGCACGCAGGATCCCCTCCACCGCCAGTGGTGCCGACGGCTCCACCGGCTGCTGATGTGGAGAACCAGGCTCCGGGCCATGCTCAGACTACGGGCACGGGGGTGGGGGTGGGGGGGTGGAAGAGAGAGGACTTGTTGAGAAGAGGCTCTCTGGCTCTGAGGGGACTATCTCTGGTCTTCTCTCTGCTGGCCTTCATCATCATGGCCAGCAACAAGCACGGCGATTGGAAAGACTTCGATAAATATGAAGAATACAGGTAATAATTCCTCAATTCATTTCATAATTTGGTGTTTATTTGAATTGTGTGCAATCGGAATTAATATTTTATATCTATATTTGTAGGTATGTCCTGGCAATAGCGATTCTGTCGACGCTGTACACCGGTGTGCAAGCAGCGCGACATGTCCACCAACTCTCCACCGGCAGAGAATTGTTTCAGCGCCGGACGTCAGCCTTAGCCGACTTCATCGGCGATCAGGTAAATAAATTAATTTTTGTTTTAAATTTTTGATCTTTTTCTTTTTCTTGGTAAAATGTATTTAGAATATCAACTTATTTGGGAAATTAGAATTTTCTGATGAATACGCGTAAATTTCCAATTATGGCAATTTAAAAAAAAAAAAAAAAAAAAGAGGTTCTTGTAGTGTGGAGCTTTGGATGACGAAATTGGTAAGAGGGCCTTACATGAGTGCCAGCTAAGCAAAAAGGCCAAACTTTGAATTGTGGGTTGATTTGCTTGCTTGCTGCAGATTATGGCATATCTATTGATATCATCAGCGTCGTCGGCAATTCCGTTGACAAACAGAATGAGAGAAGCGCAAGACAACATATTTACAGACTCTTCAGCATCAGCCATTAGCATGGCCTTCCTCGCTTTCGTTACTCTTGCCTTATCGGCTCTCATTTCCGGTTACAAACTGTCATCTCAGTCTTACATCTGATAGATTGATATTGAGGGCAATAATTCTTCCATGTTGCAGGATTTTTTTTTCATTTATTTATTTATTTATTTTTGTGTGTGATATAGTTTCATTTATCAGCTAGCTGCAATTAAGTGCGTACGTACACAGCCCCATATGTAATTCTTGGTTTGGTTTTGAAGGAAGGCATTAGGCTATTGTGCATAAGACAATGAGATGTATCTTGTTTTACACGTGAATAGATACTTTGCTTCTCTCCAATAAGGAAGTTTTAGAAAGAGACTGTGCCTTTCTCTTTTTATTATCGAGAGACTTTTTGCTGTTGTGAGCCGTTTTATTTGACAGTTTTTCGTTTTTTTGGGATAAATCGGAGATGGGGGTTCGAACTTTAAACTTCTTCCAATTGGAAAACTGATCAATTAAAGAAATAAGGTCAAATACAATGAATCTGGTTTTTCAATCTATTAAGAAATTTGATTAAACATGGTTAGGATATATCTGATGTTTTTAATTATGTTGAACAAACAGAGAGAGTTTCTTTCTTCAAGTTAACAACATAGAAATGATGATGAATTGTTTGGCATAGAAAGCTAAAGTTGGCCAAGTCACTCTACAGTTGAGAGTGAGGTTGAAAGATTTGGGTTGTCTCCATGTGTTTAAACAAATTGGAAGAGTCAGAAACTTTTCCAAACATTGCAAGGCTTTATTTTTGTTTATTCTTTATGTTAAGTGCTCTGGAAAAGCCATTTGGGAAAAGTAAAAAGTTGGAATTACATGCTTGAGCAATCTCAAGTGTTAAATCACCTGCTGTGCCATGGAAAAGCCAACAGGAAGGGGGAAAAAACAAAGAATGAGAAACCTATTAGCTTAGCAGAAAAAAATTCACTTCTTCCAAATTCAAGCAACCCTTTATTCAACCTGTTATTTTCTGTTCTTCCTAGAATAATTATAACATGGAACAAAAAGAAAGAGGCCTTATCCTCAAACAAATAAACAAATGCAACACATGCCAGTCTTTACATAATTAACCCTTAGAGAACTACTTCCTCAGGAACTATACATTTAAAAAAAAAACTAAAGTCTAATTAAATCTTGTCGTCTTGGTTTCACCCCTAAACACAAAGTGTAACATTTGATTCTGATTTGCACGTCAGCTTTTAGAACTCCGGAAATCCATAACTTCCTTCACTTTGCAACATTTTGAGGGTATAGGGTGATTGCCTTTCTGTTGTTGGCTGCCTTGTATTCTGAAGAGAGCTGAGGTAGCTCAAGTTCGAATGATTAGGCAAGGCTAAGGGCCTCACAGCCATGGACACATTGCTGTTGTTGTTGCTGCCATTATCAGAAGCAGGTCTATTTCCATTGCTATAACTGCCGCTGCCGCGCGCTGCAGGAACATCATGGTTGTGTTTCCCTTCGTATGTGGTGATCACAGCCCTTGTATCATGTGAAGCTCGCTCCACATGTTTCCTCACCGGACAACCTACCGATGTGCATTTGTAGTAGCTCCTACAGATTGGAAAAACAATTGATTAGGTTAATCAGAAAAGTTCAAAAAGTGTTTGCTAGTAATTAAACTCAAAAACCCAAGAAAGCTAAACAAATTTATAGGATGGTTACCTTGGATTTGGATTTCCCTTCACTACTTTCTGTCCATATTTCCTCCATCTGTACCCATCATCCAGAATATCTATTTCGCTTGTTGTCTGCACTACAATTCTTGGCTCTTTTACAATTCTACTCCCAGCAGCTGAAAAGGGCTGATCGTTCGCATTTTCTCCCTTCCTGCAAAATATGAAAAAGTACATTCAATCGTCTGCAGTTTTGGCAATAACATATACACAATTCACAATCGAAATCACAAGTCTATGCACTTACCATCTTTTGGCCTCAGGCTCATTTTCATCTTCAGCTCCTCCTGAATTACTTAGTGGTGAGTTTTGTTCAAACTCATCCTCTCCAATTGAGGCTGAAGAGTCCTCCTGCATCGTGACAGATTCCATTTTCGGATTGGATATTGTTGGCACAGATTGATCAGAAATGCCATATGAAGAACCCTGAATTGACTGAGAGGTTGATCTTCTTGTAGACTGAGGCTTGGGATGGTTGTGACTTCCCTTGTATACAATTTGAGTGATATGTCCATCCAATGATCTCTCAACCTTTTTTTTTGTTGGGCAATTCGGATATGTGCACTTGTAATAACTCCGCGGATTTTCGCTGCCCTTCACTTGTTTCTGCCCATATTTTCTCCAATTGAACCCATCATCTGATTTTTGTTCTCTGACAAACTGAGACGATTGAGTGCAATGTATTGAATCAGGCCTAGGAGCCCCACTAGGTCCATTGGTCTGCATATTTGTTTGGTTTGTGCCAATCTCTGGCAAGATGATCTGTAGTGGCTCAAATTCAGACTTAACTCCTGTCTTCTCTGTTGAAGAATCAGCTTGCCTTGAGATTCTGTTGAAATCCCATGGTTTCTGTTCCATTTTCAACGATTCTTCCTGTTCACATAAGAATGATTAAGTCTCAGAACAATTACAAAAAATAAGGCTTCCAACTGCACAACTAACTTGTAAAGATAACAGAATGAAGAGAATTAATTTAGTCTTACCACTGAAGCCATGATTGAAGAAGCTTGAATGTTAAAGGATGAGGATGATGTTGCAGCAGGCCTTGTTTCTGGTTGGAAAGAGAATTCAGAGAACATTTTCTGTTCCCTCTCCATTCCTTGCTGGGTTTCTTTAGAATTACTCATCCAGTCAAAGATTTGACTAGAGAAGGCTCCACTTGTTGGAGATTGAAGAGTCTGAAGAACAAACACAACACAACACAACACAACACAAAAAACCCATCAGTAAACAAAAACGAAAGAACGAAAGAACGAAAGAACCCAACAACATAATAAGTTTATAACTTACATTAGAGGAAGATAGGAACATGGGTGAGCTGAAAAAATCAGTTGGGCTAAAAGCTGGTGTTGATGCTAAGTACGAAGAAGGGGAAACAGGAGGAGGAGACATAGGCAGAGAAGGGGGCTGAAGTGACTTGAATTTTGGGATTTCAATGCCATTTCTGTCCATTAAACGGTCTGAAGAATAGTCTGAAAGTCCCCAGTTAGTTCTTTCCTGGTCAATATTGGTGTCCATGTTGTTCATGTTACTTGTGAGGAGGTGAGTGAAAGAGGAAGTCATGGCTTTTGAATTGAGGAAATTGAGAAGATGAAGAGAGAATAATTTATAGAACAATTTAAAGTGTTGAATGACAGAGACAAATGTAAGAGAGAGAGGCACGGCGATGAGGAGAAAGCAGACAGAAGATGAGGGCTTTGGTGTGTTGCGAGGGTCTCTACGCTCTTTCTAAGAAGCTAAAAAGATGTTTGACCGTGGAAAAAGAAATTTTTTTTCTAGTCAAAGCTTGTGGGTTTGACTTTGACTGCCCTGTGCGCACGTAAGTGGCGGCTGATTATGCAGAAGCTCTGTAGTTGGAAGAGGCAGCTGGGATCTTTGTTAATGCGATAATTGATACATTAAATTCTGTTTTTTTTATTTTTTCATCAGAAATTTGAAGCATTGTAATTATTTGCACATTATGATTTCCTGCTTGCAACGTTTGAAACTTCAAACGAATTTGAGACAACTTTTTTATTTTTTATAGCTACAGAAATGTCATGTGCTAATAAAAGCCCCATTCCATTCCCATGCATCCACATACACCAACACAGAGATTTTACATTGTCTTTGTTGGTTTATTTTATTATTTTTTTCAATTTTCTTTGGTAATTGACAATGAGATGTCACCAAATTAGATTTTGGTTCTTGCTTGATATAATGTATTTGAATCTGGACAAAACCCTCCTAAGTTATTGAATTCTGGGGTTCTTCTGATGAAAACATATAATATTATATATACAAAAATGATGATGAATGGATTGTAATACTAATGATTGGGGTAAGGGGTAAGCAATTAATATATCATAATAGACAAATCTATACACACAAAATTATGCAAAACAAAAAATTTAAGATGATAACTGACCATACAGCTTTAAAAAATCCACAGTATAAAAGGTATAAATACCCTAATTGTCGAAGCATACCATAATTTAGAGGGTCTCCACAGTAGTAAAAAGTAACTTAGTTCGGTACAGAAATAGCATTAATTGAAGTATTTCAAACAAAAAGGTTCTGTAGTGTAGTGGTTAGCACTCTGGACTTTGAATCCAGCGACCTGGGTTCGACTCCCGGCAGGACCTTTTGTTGTTTTGTTTTTTTTTGCTTTGGACAGTAAAATGGTTCATACGATTAACGGAGATGTAGAATTGTGCCAAACATATTGATCAGAACGGCTTCATTTTAATGGGACTCAGATGATTTTGAACTTTTCGAAAATAAAAGCCACCCTTCCTTTTTCATTCGAGAAATTATATACGTAACAAATGTTGTCCAAATATATGTTAAAAATTACATAACAAATCCCCTGTTTCTCAAAGTTTCAAGAGAGAGAAGAAAAAGACACTAGACATCCTCATGCCAAGAACTTGGCCTTCTTCACAATGTGGAGCCTTAAAAAGCCTGAGCATCTCAACCTGTAGGATTGTGGGAAAAACTAATTGGTCATTGACTCTCATTGCAATTGCATGATATCTTCCAACTGTATTTTCCAACACTGAGGGTCGAGTTCAGCCTGTCAGTCATACAAACTGAAGTCAATATGATAATCAAGTATACTAACAAGCAACCATTGTCAATTTTAATGTCTACATTAAGCTTGAAATTAAAAGCTTACTCGGAAGAACTTGTCTCTCCACTGAAACACGCAACCACGTGCTTCTAAATGTTCGAAAAGAGCTTGCGGTAGCAGTGTCTTGAAGGTTGCCTGGAGCTTTACTTTTGTTAGCCCCCTGCAGGCTAATAAAGCAGCTGCCAGCCCACTAGGGCTCAAGCCTTTCAAGTGTAAGATGGTTAAGCTCTGTAGGCAACTGATACTGGCTAAGGATAACAGCCCCACATCTGTAACAGAGCTATATGACAAATTAATCTGCAAGAAAGTATGAATGGACTGGTCAAATGAAACTGTCGTTCTCCGGTGAACTGTTTGGCTCCAGAAAAAGCAAGAAATGAGAGAGAGTACCTGTCTAAGGTTCTGAGAAAAATGAGCAAGCGGAATCATCCCAGCATCATCAATGCTGGAACACTTTTTTATGTCCAGCTTGGCCAGCTGCTTGCATCCCACAGCAATTGCTGCTAGACCCAAAGATGTGATAAGAGGACATCCTCGGGTTTCAAGGGTGTTCAAGCTTGAGCATTTTGACAATGAGATTAATGAACTATCGGTAATGTCTTTACAGTAGGCTATATTAATCATCTCGAGTCCAGGGCAACCACTTGCAACAGTTGAAATGCCTGAATCTGAAATTCCTGTGCACCTGAACAAAACAACCGCATTCAGATTAATTCCTTCTTGTATCAGTCTCTGATTTTTTTTTTACACAAACACGTATTTGGGCAAACACCTAGAAGAGGTTGTAGACAGGATGGGATTTGTTTCCTATATACATGATTTATGTAGGCTTTTGAAGACAGAGCCTTTTTAGATAATAATATTGAAAGAGAGAGTTCTATTACATTTTCTGTGTTTTAGCATGCTTTAGAATCAATAAGACCTTGATTAAGCACTCCGCATTTTCTCTAGCAGATTGTAAATCTATTGTTGCTCTTGCTTGACCTACGCGTTACCTTGCATCATAAACATTCAGAAATCATGAATTACAAACCTGTATAGATCGAGCTCTACAAGCTTCGAGCAGCACATTCCAATGTTTGCAACTCCCTCATCAGTAATGTTCAGGCAAATTCCTAGTTTTAAGCTGGAGAGATTGGAACATCTACAGATGGACTTCAGACCTGCAAATAGAAGGAACTTACATAAGTATGGAAATTACAGTAGTGCTTAAAGAATTACACTAAGGTTAAGTAAGGTTAAAACCTTCATCATCAACTTCATTATCTGTTATGTCAATCTCCTCAAGAAATTGGCATCTCTGTCCAATGAGGACAAATGCTTCTCTAGGAACCAGGGTACATGACTCCATCCTAAGAGAAGTGAGTGCGGTGCATGAATTTGTAATGTGGTCAATAGAAGCATAAGTTATCTTTCGGCAACATGTGATGTCCAGCTTCCGCAGATCCTTGTGTTTTGTCAGAAGGGAGGAGAGACTCTCATCAGTCACCTCTGCACATTTACTTAAGCTCAGCTCCCTTAACGACGCACACCAGTTTCCGATGGCTTTTAGTCCAGCATAGGTAACCGGGCAATCATCTAACTTGATTGACTGCAACATTGGAAGCTTTTTCAAACTGTCGGCAAGAGCAAGAGTCACCTGACCACCAGTGCCACCACAGTGCAAATTGTGAGCTAAGAAATTACAATATAACTATTACAAAAACACTAAGAAAGTCAGGACTTACAGGAGAGCCATGTGACAATATGATTTGCTCTAGAAATCCACCGCTGCCGCTAGTTAGAGAGGACAGCCCAACATGAGTAATGTTCTGACAACTTGATATGTCAAGTTTCTGTCAAAAGTAAAACAAGTGCAGATGTCAAAATTTGTAGAAGCCGAAATGCACTCTGACAAGTAACAAGCAAGAAGTACAAAATCTAAAGGCTGTTGGTCCTTTTTTTTAAATTATTGTCTATACCAACTAGCATCAAATTAATTTTGTCCAAACCAAATCATTTCGTGTAATCATAGAAAAGATATTAAAAGTCGAAGGTTTTAACTTTTTAGTAGCACATATGACAACCACAATATAATTATACAAATGTTATGTTATTAATACAAGATGCCTAAGACAACAACAGGGGCCTCTGAACCGAACCAGCTAAGAATAACTACCTTAAGCGACTTGCACCCATGTTTGAGGCCTGAAAGGCTGTCATCATCGATACCAAAGCATCCTTCTAGAACCAAATCTTCAAGATATTGTAACTTGAAGATCGATGGTAAGCATTTGTCTGTGATCTGCGAATCAAGAAAAACAAATCATTATGAAGCCACTCAAAATCAAAGCATACCTACCGATCATCTTGATACACAATGAGACTTGAAGATTGGAAAAGAAAATTAAAGTCGACCAAGACAAAGATCCAGTCTTTAGAATAACATAACACAAAAGCAGAGTGCTTGTCAAAGCAAAACAAGATTAAATCGAACAAAAACAAAAATTACGATTCAGGGTATAAAATTAACACGAATTAAATCAATGAAAACAAGAATTTACCTTTCAGGGTATAAAGTTAACATTAAAAACATGAATTAAATCAACAAAAACAAGCACTTACCGGCAAGTAAGAGAGATCCAAACTTCGAATATCTTTACACTTGACAGCAAGCAATCCCACCCCCAAGTCACCAACACCAGGACACCATTTCAAGCTAATCAATCTCAGCTTCCTACACCCAACTGCTATACACCCAACACCCATATCTGTGATCTGCTTACATCTCCCCAACCAAAGCTTCTCCAAGTTCTTTGCTTCAGCCAAAGCCGCAACCGCAGAGTCTCTGAGCTCAGTGGCGTTTGACAAGTCGATCTCCACCAGATTCTTGCAATTCAAGGCCAAACTCAGCAACCCAGTTCCTGAAAAGCAATTGGACCCTGAAAGATCGATTGACCGGAGGCTAGACATGCACGCATTTGAGATGGTGGTAAGAGAAGTGTCTGTGATTCGAGGGCAGAGCGTGAGATCGATGTGGGAGACATGTGGGTATCGGTTAAGGACTTTTGGGATGTGCTCTGAGCGTAAAGGCTTGAGCTTCTTGCGGTGCTTGGCTTCTATGGCGTAGAAGGACTTGCAGGCTAAAGAGAAAGCCTTTTTGTCAATTGGGTTTTGGTTAAGAAAGTCTAGGATTATGAATATGATTTCCTCTGAGAGAAAATGGAACAGATGGTTGTTGTTGTTGTTCATGTTGCTGTTGAATGTTACAATGGTTCTTTGCCTCTTCATGGTTTTGGAGGTGTCTGAAACTTTTTGGGATTTGGATGAGAAAATGAGAGTTGAAGAGGTTTAATTTTTTTATAGGTGAAGATGGAGAAATAATGGTTTTTGAGGCTTTGAAGTAACCGTTGGCAGAAAATCTGGTTTTCGGTTTGGGTGAGTTGGGTAGCTGAGGAGGTGGGGAGTGAAGATGAAGAAGAACTGAATGACTCTAATGGCCTTGTGCTCTCGTTCATAATAGCTCTTTCTTTTCTTGTTTGTTTCTTTTGAAAGGACTATTTTACCCTTCATCCCCAATTGGCTATAGTACATATTTTTTTTGGGTCAAC